ATTCAGGATAAAGCTATTCGGATGGTCGACTATGAAGTACGTATTCGTCAGTGAAACGTAATTCCCAGCTTTCACTGGTTTCTTCTTTGAGGATAGGCTTGAATGGTCCCATCGATCTTGAAATGAAACAAAACAGAATTGTAGCCCGATGAACCGTGAATAGTAATCAGACAGGAGATATCATTCTTTCGCCACACCCCTAGACATGGTAACTTTATTGATCCCCGGGAGAGTTGCAGACAGAAACTGCCCATTGAAATATTTATTGCTCATGATAAATACTTCCTTATAAAATAATTTCCATTTGTAGTACTAACAAGAATAGATGGGGAGTAAAACGAATGAATCAACTAAAACAGCACGTGCTCATTATGAATCAGTAGGCAGAGAATATTTATCATTGCCTTAAAACTGAACTCGACATGTTAATTATCTCATAAATTCCTCAAATCTTACGATATGACGATTAAGAACTTTATTGAAGAATAAACCCTACATTCCTCTATAAACTCTCATTCAACGAGTTATTGCCGGTATCATCCGATTTTTTTTATTTTTTTCGGAAAGAAGAAGTTGAAGCATGTTGAAATTTTTTGGAGAAGTTTTCCGAAATTTTTACGGTATTTAGATGAATCGATGGGCAATTTTCGTTGCTTATGAAATAGTGGATGGATTGAATCAATCGATTGAAAAAATTTCTTCGTAATACATCAATCTTATGACAAGGGGAAACCTTCGGAGGTCATCGTCCTCTCAATGGCAGGAACAATGTTGGGACCCCTGTGATTCTGAGGAAAGAAAGTTCGTGCACGCATGGGTGGAAAATAGAATGAAAGGAAAAATTAATATCCAAGGGCTTTTCAAAACCCACCTGGAGGTAGGCAGTGAGCATCTGTCCAGAGGACCAGCAGTTTCAAGATCCTCGGGATGATCCACTCGCGTCCTGAAACCTCTTTTGTACGTTTCAGCCACACCCAACCACCAGATGTGCCCCTTTCACAATTTCAATGAAAATCCCAACTCTTACAATCTTAATTGCAACAATAAGTATGCGAAGAATCAATTACAATATGAAAATCGAAATATACGTAATTATCGCATTTTTATTGTCACAGTCCAATAAATTCTAGCTTGATATTAACCCGGGTAAAAAAAATTGTAATCGTAATATTTTTTCCAAATTTTCAAAAAATTTCTGGAAAACTTTTCCGGAATTTTTTTTTTTAACAAAAAAAATGGAAAGTACAACAATTGTATTTTTGAGAAATGTTTTGAAAAATTTTTCAAAACCTTTTCCAAAAATAAAATTTTTTTTTTCACTTTTTTTTCTGCTTTATAAAAAAAAATTCTGAAAAGTTTTCCAAAAATTTTGCGAAAGTTTGGAAAAAATTTTCCCATTAAAATTTTTTTTTATCCGGGCACTTAGAAATAAATATGGATAATTTATTATGTAAATCAACTTTTTTTTTAATCACAGAACCGGTCATGCCATCATTTAATTAAGTTTTAACTCACCCAATGGAGATAGAAATCGTTTTCATCAGCGCATGACACAGGATTTAAATTTCTGCGAGCCAAAACGATTTTATTAATTGAAGCCCAAGGAAATTATCGAACATGAAATAGAATGCAAAAAAAAAATAATCTAAAAAACCGATGATTCGATTGAATTAGCGAAGATTTTGTAAATGTACGAAATGCGTAATTGTAATTTCAAGGAGTAGGGAGTATGTAAAAAAAAAGAGGTTGACTGCAATAATCTCAGGATAATTAAAATTTCAATGAGTTGACTTGCAAAATTGTGTTGCGGGTACATGTGAAAAGTCAGTTGAATTGTAACTAGTGTGTTGGCACTGGTTCTTGCGGCACGGCAATTAAATCAATAACACGGGTGGTATTCCACCATAATTGCATAAGTTAATTAGTTCAACCGGAAGATTAACAATGAAAAACAAAGAGAGAGAATCAGAGGTGGTTATGACGTGTAACAGCGAGTTGAGTGTATCTACAGTTGATTCGTAAATTCATGAAGCCTCATTGAAGTGGATATAATTATGCTCTCTATGTGGGAGAACTTGCCACTCAACTATGCCCCAACTATATCCGATGAAAATAGAAAGTGAAGGAAGAGGAGCACCTCAAATTGTGTAATGGCAAGAAAAAAAGCGATACCATCATTTATTTATTCTTCTCGCCTGACTTACACCGTATGAAATAACACCCCCTGACTTCACGCAGGGCACGTGGCGTACACCTGGGATTCACTCTCAAATATCAGCCGCAAAACATGTATACACATACCTCCTGCATCTGGTGCATTAAAGCGAAACGAAACGCTTCGAATTTTCTGCTTGGCATGAGATCAAACTGTGCGAGAGACGCGCCTTCATTTTTCTTTTATTTATTAACGCGTCACTTGTTAATGTTACCTCTGTAAAAAATGCGCACTATAAAACGATCCAGATAAAAGCGCCATTTTTTTCCAGTACATAAAATATAAGTATCCATTTTTCATCGTATGAAATACAAAAAATTTTCGCTATTTCTGGAATTATTCCTCGAAAATAAAACGGCCGATTGATTTCATTATTTTTGGCTGTACCCAATGATGCGGTTTAAATGGCAAACAATTTTTGTTCTAAAATCGATCGAGGAGGGGATGTCAAAAAATATAATCCGTGACGCTGCGTTGAAAGATGTGAAAAGTTTCTTGAATGCCAAAAATTTCAGTCTCAAATTCACAACGGAGAATTTCAAACAGAAAGTGATCATTTAGCAGTTCTTTTTTTTTTTAACTGTTCGCCATAAAAATATAAATAAAAAGGTGTAAAGATTTAAGAGATTTTGAGAAGAACTCTATAGGAGACACGATGGAATTAATGGAACTCGTAATAGAAAAGAGGGACTATAACATAAATGGTGTGTGTGAGGCGTTCACCGTGAGGAGAGACCCCCGTTATAGATGACATAACGGAAATCGCACGTAGAAAAACATAAAAAGGTACATGAGCACTATCACATGCACAGGTCGGCGTGGGGGTTGAGGAGAAATGGAGGGGAATATTTTACTCAATTAATTGAACCGGTATTCCTGATTTTTCAGAGTGATCAGTACTTTACGCTCACTTCCCACATTATTTATTATTTTTTATCATTCGTGTCTTCGTTTTTCCATTATTCTTATATAAAACCATAAAAAAAAATCACGAGTGCGAATGAACAATTCCGCTCAAAACTATACTGCCCATTTATCCTGTTCCCACACAATTTGTTATACACAACACGAAAATCCCAACATTCATCTTGGATGTACACGAGTGTAATAGTAGTGGTATTGATGATGACTTAAAAAAAATAATATAAATTTAATAACTTGATAACGGAAGATGTTATATAGCCCCTAGGTTTTCGATAATTCAAACCGGCACTTCTTGAGCATTTTCGTCTCGCGAGGAATTCACTATTTATCACCAACAATTCATCAGAATTGTTTTTTTAAATTTTATTTTTTAATCGTGCAGTTTATGGTATTACATGTACGGCTTGTTTGTGTTTTAATACCCGTTGGATTCCTCGGTGCGCGAAAAGGCAACAAATTACGGGGCCGCAAGGGTGTCGTTGATGTCATTAAGGTAATTAATTAATTGCTCGGCTGATTAATTTCGTAATTTTATACAGAGTTCAAGGGCAAGTATCACTGAACCCGAACGATAATGTTGGTCATGTGGAAAATGCTAATGCATGCGTTAGAGATGTACACTCGAGGCGCTAACGATCCTTGCGTGATTCTGGCTTATTAATTAATTAAGATGGAGCTTTCAGGATTGACACAAGTCATACCACGATGTGGGGGATTTTTTTTAACGTAAATAGACACCCACTTATTCTCGTTGTATCACGGATTAAGATATTACGACAAGGGAACGTGTGAGTTACGTGACAACTTATGGGGGACACGAGCGTCTCTGGTTCATTACCATAATCTTTATAAATCTAAACCAGGTTTTATCGCGGTACTAGCTACACTGGAGTTATTCAGCGCTGATAAATGGTTCAATATTTTCTCTCGGGACTCTCAAGGAAGGCTATTATGCAAACAAAAGGTGTAACTATTACAGATTTTTACACTGAGAGAAACATTCTGAATGATTTTGGAAATCTATTATTCAATTGTATTTTAGACAATCAACAGTATTTTTTAATGGTGCATTAGCTCGATGGTTTTCCTTCATTCAAGGTCTCAGAAATTTTGCGCTTAACAGAAGTCGGGGTTTATGACGAATTAAGCTCAATCACATTTTATGAGACTAATAAAAATCCCAACAAGTAACAAGTTCAGAGAAAAATCATTTTATTTTGAAAAACAGATGTGCTTCAATTTGACATTTATTTCGTTCATTTCCAGGAAACTTTATTTCGAGAAACAAAGATATCATTTTAGCGAAGGTTGTTATCTCGCGGATATTGTACGTCTCTGGCGGTCTTTTTAAGTGGTCATATTTACTTGGACGGCAATTACCATTAGAGTAGAAAATTTCAATCCAATTTTTTTTTCAAGTGAAACATTTATTTCGAAAAATCCAGATTACCACTAGATAAAAACTATAAAGTTACAGATTACGAAGTAGGACAACCGTAAAAATCCCTTTCGATCATAAACATCAATGCTTCAATGCTCCAAGTACAAAAATTATTTCCCCCGATGAGCCAATTTTCTATAAACCCTCAAATACGAAAGTACTCCTATCATGCACATGTTTTTAATTAAATTTTTTCCAACCACTTACTTAATTTTTTTATATCTCCCATAGAAACCCATAAAAAATTATGAACGCAACAATTTTGAATGTCTCCACTCCACTCCAGGTGTTGACGTTGCCCCAGGATCCCCAGTATATGAGGGACACAAACATGAAATCCAGAAAATCCCCAATCCTGAGCTGATTTTTTCGAAACCCGGAGGATTATAAAAAGTAATGGTGCAATTTATTCTGTTGCAGGATGGTTTTCAGTGGTGTCAGGTAGCAACGCAATGGGCAATGCACGAGTATATCGCCGGATCGAGAACCTAGTGCGTGCCGGGGTACCAGCTTTTCTTCTTGCGGCGCCACTACGTGCCTACACCCTCACGCACTCCAAGATGGGTTAGTTAGTTACCATGTCATGCTCCCTCACGCGCCACTTTACTTCTTCCATCGACAATCCCGATTAATTGATCCTCTCCCTTCCTCCCCCTCCCTCTCCATTCCTCCCCCTCCCTCGTCCTACCACCCCCCTCCCACTCCCACCCACTCCACATCTGCAGCCGCGAATGCCTCATGTATTCGCATTACGCGTAAGTGAGGTGTAACCGGTTCACATCGTCAACGATCCAAAAAGAAAAAATTCCCTCCACCAAAAAAAAAGAAAATAAAATTTAATTGAAAAAATGAATAATCCCAAAGGCATCAGGCACTCGCTTTATGCGCAAGGCAATATTGATTCGCAGCTATTATTCTCCCACTCTGGCATTTTGACATAATTTTGTATATAACATCCTCAATTGCATTAATGAGTAATTATTGTCCTGGAATAGTGGATTAATTAGGAGTGAAAATATTGTACAGGGGATGGAAATCTACGGGCTCACTACACGAAGACGACGATTCGTGCTGGTGAAGTGCTGCGATTAATAGCGGTCTTTCAAGACACGAGAAAATACAGTGCCTTTGGTATCACCGGTGGAACAGCAGAGAAAGACCAATACGCCCAGTGTTTAAATTCTCACGGTCGCGAGGTCTTTGCGGCATTATCATCGCGCGGTGAATTTTACGCAATATGCCAGAGTAGCAATGCGGACACAGGAAGCGATGCTGTTCTCTACAGGGTGCATCATCTTGTGAAACGGGCGTTGCCCCTCAGGGTGAGTATCTCGAGCATCTATAATAGATCGATGGATAGATAAACCGATCATGACTGTGTCTTTATCATTTTATTCTCTTTGTTAGTGCTCGTCTGTGTGTGTGTATTTTTTTATTTGCTCTGTGTAAAGGTACGACTGGTAGCGGGTCCACTTCCGGTGCCATTGCCAAGAGAATATGGTGGTCTCATGCAACTGGAAACCTCCACGAGGGGCTCAATTGTCCTTGGTTGTGTTGTACCTGAACGGCCCGTTCATAATCCTGAGATGCTGGAGCTCGTTGCATCTGGTAATGGCGCACCAAGAGTCAGGAGAGCAACATTAGGATATCCTTCTGAAGCTAGACTACTCACTTCCCCAAAGATGCAACGATTACTCGCTGCCTGCAGGTAACTATTGTAATTCAACTCTCGTTTCAGTTGTTATTCGTTTTTCATCGATAAGTTTTCTTGCATTTTTCATCTCACCGCTAAATACCAAGTTGAGATGAGAGGTTGAGATTAGAGGGGTTCTCTGAATTCGTGTAAAAAATTATCGTTCGTGATACAATTCTGGACCAATGCTGGAGTGTGATGAGTAAATTTTTTACTTCTGAAAAGTACTATCATTTCGATCACGAAACATTTCCGAGCAAAATGCATTTTCTCTGAATTCATAACAAAACAATTATTCGCAACGACAAAAAAACTCGTGTGAAAATCGAAAAATCTATTCTAAACTCAATTGCTAATTTATTTATTTATCCTTGAATAATCGTTTCTTAGTGAGTTGAAAAATAATTATCGCAAATTTCTCATTTGGAATTATTCGACGATTGATCAACTGGAATATTTTTATGTGATTAAAGCCGAGCAGTTGGAGATCGGGCAACGGAGCCTCGAGTGGCCCCTCAAAAAATTCCAACCACAAACTCAAGTACTCCAATTAATGAAGAAGGACGGGAGATGCATTTAAAAAAGATAAAACCAAGAGGCGAGACAAAACCCATCCTCCAGAGTTTACGTGATGGTATTGAACACCTGAAGAAAACAACAGTACGTGAACGGAGTCAGAGCCGCAATCAAAATTCATCAAATGGTTTCTTAGAACGTATAACGAAACTAACACACGTCGGTGGTCGTAACAGAAATCCAGCGAAAAAATCAGCGTCATTTACATTTGCAGTGAAACCGGAAATTGTTGTCAAGGCCAAGGAGCGGTACTCGAGTTTAGAAGCGGATGTCACGTCCCAGAATCATCATGCCAATTCAAAATTACCAGTTCAAAGATCGATTTCAACGAGTGTCCTTGAAACACCAGTTCACGTTGAATTGCAGCCTAATTACTCGAGGGTGAGAGACAGTTTAATGCCCCTACCGACCCCACCACCAAAACACACACATATATCCACAAAGCCAGACAATATTTATGCTGAAATATGTGAGACTGAGACGAGTAACAAGGTGCAGGAATGTCCAGGCAGTCATGTCATTGCTAGAATCAAGATTATTGTTAAGAGTGGTGACTCTTATCTCCAAGAGGATGAGCAAGAAGAGAGGTATGCTAATTCAATGATTACTACTCAACAGATTGATTCTATCATCCACACAGAAGATGATGTTATTTACAACACCATTTTCTGATAACTTAAAGTGTAAAATGCCAAGATGTACAGAAAATCCTATGACAATATAAATGTTTTTTTCTAAATGTTTTGTTTTTTTGCTATTTTATTGGTAAAACAAGGAAGAAACATTCTAGGTGATTTTTTATCACCAAGATTTTATAACCGGTACTAAAATGCCTCCATGGAACCGCCATTCGATGATCTTTATATCCATTTTTCAATGGAAAAATTTGTATTATAAAACGTGATGTTCTCTCTTTTAATATTTAATTCTGTAGATTATTCATGTACTCTTTTTTTGTAAATAACATTTTTTATAGAAACATTGAAAATAAACAGAAATTTGTATAAATGATTTTGTTGTGAACCGCCGGCTCAATTTTGTGAATTATTCAGTCGAGGGTATTTTGAGGAATAAATTAATTATTCGACGATTGCGATTGTTCCTGTGTTTCCCTCGTACAATATTCCTATCACTTGGTTATTCTCCCATTATTTTGAGGTCCTCGTCCCACGTTTCACTTTACGTTTTCTAATATTCTGGCTTTTCCTCGCGATTCCAATCGATTTTTTCTGCTTTCCCCTCGGATTTTCATCGATCGCCTTCTTCATCACTTGAACCGCCGTCTGATTCTCCTGCATAATCTGAACATTAGTATTCATCTCCAAATATTTTCCAGAGAATCCTTTCGGAAACAATGGCTTCAGCAATAAAATTCTGAGTTGCTGTCTCTTCCTCTTCAACTGTCTCCTCAATTCTGCAGACTCCTTGGACTCCATGGTGCTCTCAACCTGATCCTCATCCAACACAAGATCCATGTCCTCAACGGCTTTCTTGAGCCACCCCTTCTGCACATTATCCCTCCTGCACCTCAGCTCGAGTTTGTCAATTTCCCTGGCGACATTGACCCTCTCCTTGACCGACATAAGAAGTTTATCCACCACCGGGAACGTTGGAATATCGTTAGTATGCCCAAGAGTTTTACACAATTTCGTATAATAAGACAACTCAGACGGTTCCATCATCAAAACAGTGATTCCCTCCTTCTGTGCACGTGCAGTCCTTCCACTTCGATGCACATATCCCTCCGAAGTTCTGGGCACCTGATAATGAATAACATGCTCCACATTCGGAATATCTAGACCCCGTGCAGCAACATCTGTAGCGATTAAAAGCCCCTCGGGACTCTCCTGAAATTTTTCCAAATTCTTCAATCTCTGTCTCTGCTGCATGCTGGCATGCAGTGGCAGAGGATTGCATTCGAGAATACCAAATAGTGTTGCTAGTCTCTTGACGCATCCTATGCTGTTACAGAATATCAGAGTCCTGCCTCGGTGCCTCCTCAAGAAGTAATAGAGGTAATAATCTTTATGGTCCATGGTACATGTGATTCTGCACTCAGTTAATGTTCCAGCAGTGCCTCTGGCTTTCGTCACGTCAACGATCTTAGGATTCTTAATTTTCAAAAGTGCTATGATTTTCTGCAGCTTCTGACCAGGTGTCAATTTGAATATTTTACTTTTACTGTTCCCCTTCTTTTTTCTCTGTAAGTAGTCAGGGATATCGTGGACGAGTGTAAGTGTAGCTGAGAAAACAAAAGTCTGACGATCCTGTACGGACGACTCATCGGAATTCACCCGCTCGAGAATTTGGTGGAGCTCTTGAAAATGCCCTTTTTCCAGCATTCGATCTGTCTCATCAATAGCAAGGTATTTTAAAGAGTTGAGTTTGGTCAAATGAGGATTCCCCTGGTCTATTAGCTCCCACAGACGCCCTGGTGTCGCTATCACAATCTCCGGACCCTTGCTAAGGATTCTCTCCTGTTTTACTGCTGCCATTCCGCCCACGACCACAGCCACTTTAATGTCCGTATATTTTGCTGCTCTGCTGATGTGATTTTTTATCTGAATTGCTAGTTCTCGGGTGGGTGTCAGAATGAGAGCGTAAAGGGGTTTGCAGGAGAGAGAGGGGATGAAGTCGTTCGAGTCGATGTTGTCAATTACTCTGACGCAACCTACACTCTTCTCGTCTGGCCTGTCTGGATGTTCTTCCTCCGATTCCTCCTCTTCTGGGTTACAATGTTTTTCATCGACATCGTCTCCCCCATCGGATGAAACTGTCCATCCAGTGCTTGTAGCTCCACAGTCGTCGATTTTTCTCGATATTTCTAGTTCATGGTTGGATATTTCATGCTGTTTAGACTTCAACTCAAGAATTCCTGACAGGATTGGAATACCGAATGCTAGGGTCTTCCCACTGCCTGTTTCTGCAGCTCCCAAGATGTCTCTTCTTCCTAAAATGGCTGGAGGAAGGGTCAAGGATTGAATTGATGTTGGAGTTGAAAATTTTTGGTCCTTCAGGGCCTTCACGATCACAGGGGGAACACCCAGGGTCGTCCATGCTTCTGGACTGAAGTTTAAATCATCTTCGGATTCGTTCGTTACCGGATTTTCTTCTGATTCTGAAGATAACAATTTCGGTTCAGAGCGCTTGCCGGTTTTTCTCTTTTTCTTCGAATTGGCTGGTTTTTTATTGCTCGAGGCAGTTTTTGGGATAACTAAACCGTCATCTTCATCTGATTCCTCGGAAAAATCCTCTGATATCTGAAGTTAAAAATATTATTTATGGTCTAAGAAAAATAGAAAGATGATTAAATTATTATCATAATTAAATAATTAATACGAAACATTGTAAATACCTTTCGTTTTGAGGATTTCTCAGATTTATTTTCCAGACTATAATCCACTAATTCCTCAATACCAATCAACCCCTCAACACCTGATGAAAGTATTGCACCTTCTAGTGTCAAAGGCTTCCAAGTTTTAACCCCTTTTCGCTTGATTTTCGTCATATTTCCCACTCAATAATCCACATCCATATAAAATATACCAATTATTCCTCGATGGACAAAATAATTCACAGTTCTTTACTCTTAAAAATAACCTCAAAACTCCACATGCTCGATTCTTAAATTTTTTGTCATAACGGAGTGGTCATGACCTCTTGATAAGTCAGTTTCAGAAAATTGACATGGTACATGTCTGCACGAACTTCAATTACCTCATGCTGATAAATGCCAGACGCAGCTATTGAATATAAAAAAAGACTCACCTAGCTAGCAAAAGCAATAATACTTCCATTCCTTGCTGAACAATTTACAAAAAATAATTCAATATACACAATTTCCTTTTTACCTTTCTCCGTATAATATTATATCAACAGGTGATAAAACCTTCCCCGCCATCAATTGCAGTCACAAGAGTTCTTCCACAACAGTGCAGTGGTGATTTGTTATTCCGATCAAGTAAATAGTTTTTTTCTCAAAAATAAAAAAATGTCACAAAAATTGACAGCGAAGAAGAAAGACTTCTCGAAGAGTCTGTCGAGGTACTTACGAAGCGATCAAGACGAGATACGAGCAGAACTGGAAGCAATGACAGGTTTAGAGTATAACCTTCACGGTGAGGGTTCCGAGGAGACCAGCGATATTTCATCCTCCTCAAGGAGAACAAGATCGATAAAGCACCAGAAGCCTGAAAAAATAATGGAGCAAGACAGACCCCTTCCCCGAGTGGAGATGGAGAGCCAAATTCCATTTTACTCATCAACAGCACCAGCCAGAGAGCTCCAGAGAATAATCTCCCAGCCAGGAGGAACCAGCGAGGATAAATATAAAATCCTCGAAGCCAGGGACAGATTGATGCGACTGAAGCAAGTGAAAACCCACACCCTAGAGACCGCCAAGAAAACTCGAGGCACATGTCCAGACATGTGTCCAGAGAAAGAAAGATTAATGCGAGAATTTCAAAGACAAGTAGCATCCTACGAGCAAGTCGATACCTCAGAGTACAGAATCTGTCACGAGACAGCTGTTAAGCAGTACTCAAGATCATCAGCTGATCAGGCTGAACCAATGCCTCATGATCTCCGTCCAATCGCATCTCTCAAGATGACGATGAGTTATCTCCTCCACGAAATCGTCGACCTGTGCAACGAGGAGGGAACAAATCTAGCTGAGTGGTATCACTTCGTCTGGGACAGAACCCGGGGAATAAGAAAAGACATCACCCTCCAGGACCTCTGCTGTCTGGACACTGTTGAACTCGTCGAACAGTGCGCGAGATTTCACATTGTCTGTTCAGAACGTCTCTGTGCAGAAGAAACAGCCGTATTCGACAAAAAAATCAACACTGAAAACCTGACAAAATGCCTCCAAACATTGAAATACATGTACCACGACTTGAGAGTCCAGAGGATAACATGCAAAAACGAGGCAGAATTTCGTGGCTACATCATTTTATTGAACCTAGACAATACGAACTTCATGTGGGAACTCAAAGAATTACCCAAGGCTATTCAAACTTCTCCAGAAGTTAAATTCGCCATCCAAGTGTTTTCATCGATTCAGTCAAACAATTACGCGAGGTTCTTCAAATTAGTGAAGAGGACAACCTATTTGAATGCTTGTCTCATGCTGAGGTATTTTTTTCAAGTGAGAGTTAAGGGTCTGACGGTTATGGTGAAGGCCTACTGCAGGACGACATCCACTGCCTATCCATTGTACGAATTCATCGATATCTTGGGGTTTGATGATGAGAATGAGGCAATTGCTTTCTGTGAAAATGCTGAGTTGAATATCTCGAGCGATGAGCTCAATATTATCTTGAATAGGCAGAATGTGAACCTGCCACCTCCTGTGATGGATGAGGGAAGGGCTGTGAGTCTCGTTGAATCCAAAAGAATAAAGATGGGGTATTCGTATGGGCAGGCTATAGCTGGGGAAGTCATGCCAGAGCAGCTGTATATAAATCATAAGCCTCATAATAGTTTTGATGCCCATGGGTATTTAACGGCAGAGGCGATTAATGCTAGTGATCAGAATTATGGGATCATTGAAGAAGAGGAAGAGGATCCTTACGAGTACATGGAGAAGGACGTGGTGGACCCACCACCTCCTCTGAGACGTAAAACTTTTGGGTTACGATTGGGGGATGATAATGAAGAGGCTGGTCAGGATGATGAGGGAGTTGAGGAGGTTGACGAGGTCGAAGAGGTTGAAGAGGGAGTGGAGGAAGAAGAAGAAGAATATGAGTATGCCGATGAGGGAGAGGATGAAGACCATGATGATGTGCCAACGACAAAAGCACAGATATTTTCATCGATTTCTTCCAAAGCTGGCAATGTCTTCAGCAAGAACTTCAAATTCTCGACTGATAATCGAAGTCAGGATTCCAAAATGTCGATAGGTTCTCCATTCATATCTCAGTCAGAGGAGAAGAATTTATCGAGCGGTAAATCCGAATTTTCATTTGCTGCTGTTCTGCCACCCAGTATATTTGGAACTAGCGAGGGTAAACCAGATAACTCAATTTTCGCGGGTGCAAGCCGAGGGAGTATATTTGCTAAGCCAGCCCCAGTTTCCACTCCGTCAGTCATCTCTAGTGCTGCGGGTAATCTGAAAAATGAAAATTTATTCAAAGTTCCTCAATCAACGTTAAAGGAGTCACCAAAGAAAAAAATACAATCAGGCATTGCTGAGGAGAAGAAAAAACAGGGAGAGGAGGAATTAAGGTACAAATCTCTGGCGTTAGAGGAACGTCTTAAAGAAATTGAAGCGGAAATTAAACGATGTGAGATGGTGATTGAGATAGAAGTGATTCATGATATCTGCTCGACAATATTGAAAGAAGAAATTGAGAAGGCCAAGGTGTTCGAGAGACTCAGTCAAAAAGTAGCGGATGACGTGCTGAAAGAGGTCATCCATGAAGAGTGCATGAGAGCCCTTGATAAAGAATTATACATCCAGAAGCGACTCCAGGAGGTTGCTAACAGAATCAGAGACAGAATGGTGTTGAAATACTACAGAATTTGGCAGCGAAATTCCATGAAAAAACGAGAGCAGAGAAAGGCTCTGGACAATACGCCAGTTTGGCTACCTAGATACTCTCTCGACGCGTGCGCCAAGGATCTTTATCGTAAGGATCAGGATTTGGTGATTCAGAGCATGAGAAGAAGATCAAATAGAACAGATAATGATGATAATTTAAAATACCTCAGTCCAGTGGAATTGAAAATCTACTCGGGACTTAAAGAGAATGCAAAAACTCTGGATACAGACCCAACGCCCATAACGTTCTGGAAGCTAGTGGTATCATGGCCCTTGTTAGAGGACAGAGTTTTACTTTGGAGGTACAAGAATATTATGAATCAGTATCTGTGCCCTGGAGACTACCGCATGGATCCGATTATCAAAACGTACAAACCGAATCCCTACGAAACAATGAATATTTGTATCAAACATTGCGAAGGAATCGCTGGTGAAGATGATGTTGTAGGGATGGATGCACTTTTTTTTATTGCCATGACTGACGAAAATCCTAAGGTTGTCGCACGAAGACTCACCAAGACGGTTTTATCGAGGCAGAAATTGATGCCCATCCCTCTTGTTTTTATTGTCCTCGGGGACGATGGAGGCAGAAAAGAATTAGAACCGAAAAAAGAATTGCAGAATCTATTAAAATCTGAATATATTACTGAGTATACTGTGCACCATGAGAAGGTAATGGATGAGGAGAACATTTTGAAATTGACCCAGACTGCTCTCCTCTGGCTGAGTTTAAACAGATCGACTTCAATTCCTCTCGAGATGGACTACTTGAAGAATGTCGTTGACAACTGCCTGACAGATGAATTGTGGCTGAGGATATCCGGGCATGCACCGTTCAATGCAGTTCTAAAAGCTGCCACTACCGATCCTAAATTCATTATAGATCTCCATAATGAAGCTGTTAATCGACTGATGGATGTCATTCTGGATCCCGAAAGCTTGATGTATACAGATTTTCCAGTGGAGTTTAAGTCGCTTCTGCCAAAGGACTTTGATTTGCCTTGTAGTTATGAGTACTTTGAGGAAGACTGGAAGGATGAGGAAAATAGAGGTAAAATGGAAATAATTCTCGAAAGTTTCGTCCTGCCACCTTGGCCATTCGACTGGCCGATTGACAATGCAATGGACCTCCACAAATGTGTCATTCGTTATTGCAATTTAACCCTAGGCAAATCAAATTATGAAGACATATCTTGCAGCATCCTGAGTAATATTTTTTTCATGTCTGATAGTAACAGCAAACCGAATTTCGTGCATGTTCTCACTGAGATAGTCAAAGCAAAAATTCGACTGCTGGATGAAAATTTATCAGTCGTCTACGATAAGAACCACATTAAGATGTTCAGGACGTTGCCTTGGTGGTTCAAGTCGAACATCTTCTTAATCTACAAAGCCCAGATGAGTTTTCCACCTGGGGAAACGTATGAGACATCTGTGACCAAGAGAAGGCGTCTAGAGGAAGAGGCGAACAAGCAGAACCAGGAGATATCGATGGTCATTGAGGAATTCGATATTACTTCTGCTGTGGAAAGTCGAGGGATTAATAAATCATTATTCGATAAGAGCAAGAATCTACGCTCAGAGGCCCAGATGATGACTGACAAATTAGAAACACTTCTAGAGGAGCAACGGTTAGCCAATAAAAAATTTGAGGAGAAACTGAAAGCTGCTTTGCGAAGTGAACAGTCTGCCGATTTTTGATTCTTTATAATGATTGAAATCAGTATTTATGCAACGAGACATTTTGTTATTAACGGAAAACGAGATTGATAAGTTGACAAGTTGTAAATGCTTGCAACAAAGCTTATGAAATCGTTTGTGATATATTTTTGACGGATCATATGTACTGTAGATTTTTTAAAATTTCTATACTCTGCTTCAGACGAAATCAACATTGAAGGATTCAGTATGGTTACATGAATCGTTTCAATTACTCTCGAAATACCCAGTGTACAAATGAAAAAATATAATTAATATCCATGAAAGTGGTGATAACCTAGTTGCTCTTCTTTTTGAAATCTACCTATCCACCAATAACTCAATACGTCGTAGAAAATTTATAAACTTGCGCCAGTGTTCTCTCCTCTCTCTCTGTCGTGTTGCTGTGTGTCGAATCAGACGGATGTGCGCATAGAACGTGACATTCACGCAAGTCTTTTCAAGTATCCAAGAACTAGTTCTCCCAATAGGTATTTCACGGTCAGCTGTGATCGACAGTCTCGCAAAATAAACGACAACATTGTGTTGCCCCTTTTATTACTGAAGAGAGTAATCTCACCTTTGAATTTTTCAACCTTCCAACGTTTCCACCCGCTCAGTCTTAATGTGTCAATGGCCTTAATTATCCATAACAAACTAGCATTCAACGAAATGGCGGAACCATTTTTTGACTATCAATTTCGATTGATTCTAATTGGCGACAGTACAGTGGGAAAAAGTTCTTTGCTCAAGTATTTGACGGATGGAAAATTCGCTGAGGTAATTATTGTTCTTAATCATATTGTCTTTGAGTTTTGTTCAATGCAACCTGTTGGAGTCATCGATGATTACATGGGGTTATGATCCTTTGGACTAGAACAGGCATTTTTTTTTAGTTACAATTTTTTACTTTGTTTGAACTTTGTCTGGGGATTCGGATTCTTTGTGAGGAACGTGGCAAGTTATTTTTAAATTATGACGCAATTATCTCCACTATTTTGAATACCATTTTTTTGACAGATCGGATTGTGAAGGTTAGGTCTCACTATTGCTTTCTGCGTTGTGAAAATTGGGATTATGCATAACATTGAAGACCGAGTGAAATTTAAAAATTCTCGAGTTTTTTAATTATTCATGTAAAGATACTGATTAGAGGGGGATTAGTTTTTAATTGTATCGTATGGTCGATGGAAATAATCCAGCAGTCGAGGTTGAGGTTTTATTATTGTTTAGAGTGAGCAATTTGTTTTATTTAATTCTTGTCCATACAGTTATCGGATCCCACGGTTGGTGTGGATTTCTTCGCGAAGCTATTAGATTTGGACGATGGAACAAGAATCAAGTTGCAGTTGTGGGATACGGCTGGACAGGAGAGATTTAGGTTTGTAATTTCATAGGCTACCTGGTAATACTTACGAAACATTGTAATTATTGTTTTATACGACTCGTTCGTTTGGATATTCCGCTTATGCCTCAGGGATTATTTTATTGGCGACTTACGTACCTTACGTTTTGTCTGAAACGCATCAAATGTTGAATTCATAATTATTTCTACAGGAACTTAATTTCGCAATGATTAAAAAACGAAAATCATAGGAAAATAAAATTTCATTCTAGGTCAATCACAAAATCGTACTACAGAAATTCAGTGGGGGCTCTCCTTGTGTTCGATGTGTGTAATCGAAGGAGTTTTGAACACATTCCCCAGTGGATGATGGAAGCACGTCGATACATAGAGCCTCATCGGCCAGTGTTCGCTCTCGTCGGGTGCAAACTCGATGTGATAGCTCAAGGTAGAAGAAGACAAGTATCCGAAGAGGAAGCACGTTCATTTGCCGATCAAAACGGCATGGAGTACATTGAAACCAGCGCAAAAACTGGAATGCGGGTCACCATGGCTTTTCGCACTGTATCGCAGGAAGTTTATAATAGAATTCAGACTGGCGAGTACAAGGTGGAAGACGGCTGGGACGGCGTTAAGCCTGGATTTATACGTCCTGGTGGATTCGATTTTAATCTAGTCGAAGCGGAACCCGCCAAATCCTCGTGTTGCTGAGACAATTTTCATTCTTCCCAGTCTCTTCAACGAACATTGGCACAGGAAATTATCAAGATTTGCATTAGGAAATTTGATTTGTCTTAGATTCAGTCATCTCACCATCTTTACGTTTCTCCACAATTTTCACCCTTCATCTCATCTTTTTTTAGATTTCAAAAGGTACTAGTCTTCAGGTGAAGTAATAAATCAGGATGAGTTAAAATTAAATTTGATCATTTTGTTCAATAATAAAATGATTTAATGGTTCCGTTTGGTTTCCATAGTGTGAGTATGAATTTGTGTTCACTTTTGATGCTAAATTATTTTTTCAGTTTCAAAACAACTTCTCAATATCGCCATTTTAATTAATTAATATTGAAAAATAATGAATTACAGGAAATCAAAAATAATTAAAACATAATCACCTTCAACTAGTCATTTCAATACAAATTTTAATTGACATTTCAACATTTCTTATTACTCTTTTTGAATAATAAATCGGTTACTGCAATGCAATGATCGATCTCAAAGTGTGTGCACTGATGGTGACTAATTTTTGTATATAGACTGTAAATTAAATAAACTAGTTGAGCCATTCAACTGGACATATGACTAGCTGACCTGGAAAATATGGTTTTATGATGTGAATTCTTTAGTTTCTCTTTTGGGAATAAATTTATCATGAGAATATTAAAAACATCATAACTAGATGCATTAGTTGTGCCTTCAATAGTGAAGTGTAATGAAAAAAATATTTGTTAAAAAAACGAAAATTCACACGAAACATCGTCGTAAGTAACTCCTCGAATAGTGAAACTCAGGAATAATTTGAAATGGACTTTTCTTTCAAATTAAAAGTTCCGCCTCTTCGAACAAAAAGGTTTAGTACTAAAAACTAAAAATAAAAAAATCAACTGATTGAATATACTTTATACAAATTAAATCTCCGTAATTAATAAATACGCACCTGATTCTTCATTGTAAACATCTGCTAGAATTGTATATTTGAATTTTTAACTCATTCAACAATAACTATTCTGTTAATTCTTTCGGTACCACGATGAAAATTATGTTAATTCCAAGATGAACATATTTTGTAATTTCATTATATATATTTCTATTTTGTAATATGAATTTGGATAAATTGTATTTGATAATTAATTATTACGTTGAATCGAGTTGTTAACGATTCAAGTTACGTATCAGGGTATTAGTCCAATTGCTGAGCCGATCTAGAAGAAATAGGAATTATTTCGAGGATTCAGATTCTATTATTAAGCTATAAAAAAAAACAATTCAATTATCCCAAACGTACGTACATGTACTCGTAAATACCCTCAACCCAGAGACATGTACTTTGTAAATACGCCAAAATGTAATTTAGTATGTAATCGTTTTAATGTCTTTCTGTAATAAAGAAATGTAAAAATGAGACAATATATTATATTTCTTTATTATTTACAGGCAAAATAAAATATAGAATATTAATCCCTTAATTATTCAACGTTGTACCTAAGAAAAATTATTTTATCGTAAAACTCATCGATATAAAAACAAGCATAAAATAAAATCATACTCCACGTGTTCTCATATACTATTAAAAGATTCCAGAGCTCAATTCAAAATGAAATTATTTAAAAAATTGAAACTCATAAACGATAATAAACGTGCACTTATCAATCAATCGAAAAAATATACGCATTCATTACTCGAAAATTCAGAACGAATGATTTCAAACGCTCTCATACTGACTAGAAGAATTTTTTATATCGTAGAACGTCCGAATTGTATTAAATGTTCCATGTTTGGCAAGACATATTTTTCTGATATAAATTTACAAAGTATAAGAATGAAAGTCTTGAAATACAGTTCCCTACAGATAATACTTTTCTTTCATAATCATCATTCAATGTCTTGAAATCCCATTGAAGTTAAAATACAATCGTTATTTACATAGACTAAGTGAGATTTGAATGAACTATTTACATACAGAGAACGATTTTCATTTCTGAGATAAATGGGAAATTGAAATTTTTCATGCATTATTTACCGGGCTCGGAGAAACGTCTACATAAATTATCCCCTAGCATGACAATTCTATTACTTCTCTCCTCTAACGATCTCGTAATTTTCATTTAATTTAATTTATAAAGCTGGAAGCTCTCATCGCCTCATATCACTTGTTTTCTTTAACATTACTTTGTATATAAATTTCCAAAGGAAATGAATTTCGGCAATATTTAATATTATCGTCAACTACTACTTTCAATAAATTACCTCAATAAATATAATTAAAAATTCTCTAAAAATGTGCCTCTCGCCAATTAACTCAGTGCGAAAAGCTGCGAGTAATTCATTCTCGTCCCTAACGTTTCGTCATGAATACCTGGTACTAGCCATATAAAGTCTATATCAACCTGTCTGATCCAACTCATAAATATGTTTTAGAGACAATATGTTGGATAAACTATATGTGTATTTCATAATTGCAACGATATTATTCGCAAAATCGCAGGACGACCAAGTCTTAACATCAATTCCTGTCCTAATTTAATCTCTCTCAATTCTATAATCATGTAGTAAAGACCAGAAGATGATTCTCCTCAACTTTCATTTCCTCCCATGAGAATGCCGACTGGATAATTTTGGGTTCTCCCTTGAAATTCAAAATATCCATTAGAATATCATGAGGTAGTCTAAGTTATTGAAATAATCCTTCACAATTATCCTGCAAAATTGAATAATAAATCCCAACAGTCAGACTTACTCACAAATTATTTACTCCAGGGACTGACATCCGAAAAGAACATATTCCTCCCTAGACAACCAAAAAGGATTGCCCTCGATATATTCCGGTGGCGTTTTGTCTGCAATGAAAATCGAAAAAAATCCGTTGATTGATTGAAAAATTAAAAATATCGAATCATTCAAGTTGTCCCCGGATAATGAAATCGACAATAAATTGAGACATTATAATTACCGGGATGAACGGCCAGTGGCACATACGTAGATCCCATGGCAACGTTCCAACTGTGTGTACCCGGACAACTTCGTACTTCAAGTATTGATTCATACTCGGGCAATACTTCACGGAGATCTTTTCGCAATCTGAGTGCAAAGCCAGACAAATCGGTATTGCCACCGGTCAGTAGAATATGCGAGAGACAATCGTGCATAAGATCTTCACTGAGTCCTGCTGTTACGTCTTTGATTATCTGAGGAAGACCTAGACTGATGTACATCATTTCCGGAGCAATATAGAGCTCTGGGCCAAGAGAAACCTTCCAGAATTGTTTATAATCCGCATAGCTGTCCACTCTGAGATTGATATGCTGGCGCTTGACAGGTCCTCTCTTCATCTCTTCATTTTCGATATTATAACTCAACCGACAGCGTTCCTTAACAGCCATCGTGTCCAGATGAGAGATCGGTATCTGGTGATACTCTTTGGGCTGCCAGTGCATGGCCTGTTTTAAATGATAGGCCACATGCCAGCCTCCAACAGGCAGCAACTTCCATCGGTGGGGCATTACTCTTCCTCCAATAATAACAGCAACAGTTGTGCTCAGTGCTCCACTGTCCACCACCACACAGGTCTCAACATCCAACATAGCACACGCAGCCAGAGGTTTAGGTACCAAACACACTCTGGCAACCTTGACTTCTTGAAACAAATAATGCAGCAGCTGTTTCCTGAGAACAGGATGCATCGCCAGGGGTTCACAGAATATCAAAACAGCACTGGGTTTTCTCAGCGTTGCAGTCAATCCCATTTGATGAAATAAATGATCAACGAATGTCTTGAGAACTGGAAATGATCCCTCACTGAGAAGTGCCTCCGCTGGACTCACGACATCGACATTTGGTATTCCAAGTACTTCAACAGTATCTGTGCAATACCCATTGACAAGTTTTTGATAAAGTGGATTTGCCTTTGCATAGCACATCGATTCCAACGGATGTGCAGCCAATCTCCTCTTTTCTCTGTACAGCTTAACAGAATTGCAGAAAACACAGAATGGACCACTTGGTTTGTATGTACAAGGCCCTTTTGTCGTTGTTAATTCGGATAATTTGAGGGATTTCAATTTTCTTGCTATTGATTTATAATCAGACTTCACTCGACTTGTACCACTGACACTTGGCACTTTCTCCACCGGAGGCTGATACGTCGTGTGAGTTTTACTGTCACACTTGGGGATACCAAAGAGAGAAAAGTGCCTTCGGAGACCAAAATTAGGTGTTATCACCCATGTGTATTTGTTGCCAATTTCTATCACAACTTTAGCACTGGATCCTTCCACGCAGTTGCGTTGACAGGTGTAACCACTGCAGTAGTAACATTTTGGAAATGGTGGATTCTCACCAAGAGTTATCACCATGTGAAGACGATAACACATGGACTTGAAGCTGACACTCAGCAATTGGAGACACTTTATGTCCGGGAAGCGAAACTGCACTTTGGATATTAACTGGAGCCATTTCATTTTCCTGCGAATTAACAGTTTCTCGTAATCGATTGTTAACCTGTCAGTCATTGATCCGATGATTTTCTCGGTAACTGTTGTTTGGGGAGTGTTAAAATGATGATTGAGTTGTAAAGAGGGAGGTAAAGGGCAGGGATGTAGCAAAAATTAATGATTAGACATTAATTAACCTCACTCACCAGAGATAATCGGTGTCCGATGTTTTTCTCAAATATTTGCATGTACTACCGAAGGCTATTATGTCAGGTACATCGCAGTAGAGTAATATTTTGATCCATATCTCCTCCGGGAAAACGGCCGGATCCATTGTTAATTGATATGATTATCAGCTATCGATTATTAATGAAATAATGAGACTGAAGAGATGAGAAGTACGGAGGATCGCGCAAGCGAGACTTGTCGAGGTACCGACCAGTCCCGACTGCCGTAAACGAGAAAACTCACGAAATGTGACACTCCTGACACTCCCAGACTTGGACAAGTCCCAAACGGTCAACTTTCAGCCTTTCAGCCTTTCAGCCTTTCAGCCCGGTGTACCAATCGCAAACAAACCAATACGCTAGTCAAGTTCAAGGTTACCTCACTTTCCAGATAACCAGAGACGGGATTGCAATTTTTTGCGATATGCAGGCCAAGGAGGATTGGCTAAACTAGAGGCTCAGTTCTTGGGGTTTGAGTGACCCCAGCGGCATCGTAGTACTGCACCCCAAGAGAGGGAGGGCGCAACACGCAATGCGGGGGTGTTCATCAAGTCGACGGGGTGAATTTTATTTTGCTGCGGTGTGAATGCTTTTTGTTTTTTATTTGTTTAACTGAAATTTAGCTGACTGTAAAACGAGCGGAAGGGGGAAGCTATATCTTATGGAATTTCAAATGGAAAAACGATTCAATATATTGAAGATATACTACTAATAAAATGTTTTTCTTATAATAAGCGCATTGCCTAATTGGTAACGTGCTTGACTGGCACGCCGACGGCTAGGGTTCGATCCTCGCCGTCATTCATTTTTTTTTTTTAAATAATTCCAATTTTTTTTTTATCAATGGCTAATCAATGGAAATATCGTTTAAAAACTGAATTTTTGAAAATCGAGAAGATATCTAGCGAAATTGACAAATTTGAAATTTTTTAAAAAGATACTTTTGCAAAATATATACGCCTAATGAAAATATATTCTTGTAACGAGCGCGTTGCCTAATTGGCTGCGTACTGGCCTACCACGCCGACGGCTAGGGTTCGATCCCGCCATCATTCATTTTTTTTTAATAATAATCCATCGAAATATCCCTCTGTAAAAGTATAAGTATAGAAATTGAAAAATTCTAAATTTTTGAAAAAGTATCAGGAAAACATGAACATCGAGGAGCTATTCACTGAAATTTTCACTGAAAGTGAAACATTCGAAATTTTTGAAAAAGTATTAGGGTAACATGAACATCGAGGAGCTATTCACTGAAATTTTCACTGAAAGTGAAAAATTCGAAATTTTTGAAAAAGTATCAGGGGAACATGACAATCGAGGAGCTATTCA